ACATTGTATATATTTTTATTATATAATATTATAAATATCTATTATATAAATAAAATATTGTATATATATCATGTACAAAATAAAAAAGTTCCCTTTTCAAGTTCCATGGTTTACCATGGAACTTTACTCAAGCCTGGGAACTTCAACAGTAAAAGGGAGTTCTCAAATTATCTTCCACTTTTTATCAAACACATAACATGAACAATAATAGGTAAAGTTCCTTCTTCCTCTTCTAACTTCCTGTTATCAAACACACCTTAGTGTTGAAGATTCTTGTCCTTAAGACTTCTTGTACAACTTGATGTCATTTTGTTTGCCCATCGAACTGCACATTTTCATAGATGAGTGGGTTTACTAGATGCATGCATCAGGATGCTTTTCTTTCAGATAAATACTCAAGGAAGATATACTTTATAACTTTTTCATGTTGGTTATCACAATCTTCATCAACATGCTTCACATAGGCTGTACACTTAAAAAAAAGAGGCAGATATATGATATCTTGTTTCTTCTTATAAAGAAGCAGATATGGCATATTCATCCCATCTCTCTATAGCATGTGATTGATCAAGGACATTGCAGTGTGCATTACCTCAGCACAATATAATTGTACCAAATTTTTTTTTATGTCATTGCACGTGCCGATTCTTTCTTCCATCGATCCCATTTTGTTCAGGCGTCCTAACACGCCTCCTCATCCTACTATATTTGAAGAAATCATCAAATTTCTCTAATACAAACTCTCCAACTTTGTCTATCCTGAATTTGTCGATTCTTGCTATGAATTCACCATCTACAAACGTTTTGAATTCTTTGTAAGTGCCCAAATACTTCAGAATGGTTTGGTAGAAAATATACGTACCTAGAATAATCGTCAATGAAAGTGACATAGTACCCTATGCGACTATGAGATTTAACTAGACTTGGACACCGCATATATTGCAGTGGATGATCTCCAATGGATACTTTGTTGTGGTAGATTATTGAATGAATTGATGCATTGTAGCCTTGCACATGTTTCACAAATGTGTTTCCCATCAAATTGAATCATAGGCATCCTAGTGATCAGCCTCTTACATGTCATTCTTTTAACCTAAGATGGTTGAGTTGCCCTATTCTTCTGTGCAACTGGTGGGTGTCAAGATCTGATCAATGCCTAGGCTTTGGTCTTTTGAAGGTCACGTGAAGAACGGTCGTGTGAATTATTCAAATAAAATGCATCAACACCTTATTATAGTTCTGGATACCACAATGGTCCACTAGATAGGTATATATGGTACCCAACCAACCCCCACCCTCTCTTAATTTTTCACTTGCCATACATGGGCTAAGCATTTATCTAGGTCCAGCCATCTGTGTAATCTATCCTTGTAAGATTAAAACTTCCTAAAGTGATAAAATTGATATGGCTTGCTATGATAGTTCAATAAAAAAAATTACAGTAGTTAGAGGGGGATTATATCAAGCGATTGTGTACTAAGACTGTTGCCTTTGATACAAGAATGTCACGCTCCCTTTGAAATCAGGCAGTTAGGGTTGTGTCACAAATGCAATCAATAATGGAAAACTTAATATGCAAGCATTGCCTGCATATGAACTTGAGCCACCTTGGGCTACCCACTGCTCACTGCTCAAGTTACTACGCGGGCATGCCCGCATAATAATTGTGTATATGAATTATTTATATTTAAGTATCAATTTCAAATATAACACTTAAAAAATGATTGCGACGTACTTGTATCAAAACTAAATAACTTTATTATATACTTTTTTTTATATTAATCGTCCATTATCTTCTAGTTTTCTTTTGAGGTAAATCACCATTAATACCCAACTCAATACTTGATTTCAAGTCAATTCCCACTTAGTAATTCAAATTGAATTCTCAATGTAATACTTAATATTTGGTCAATTCCGACCATAACCGTCCAAATGGGTAAAGGCAATATCATGTCATTCTCATGCCATGAATGGAAAAGTTCCTTGAACTGAAAAAGTGATTTGTTGGGGGTGGAATTGGAGGTCTATGACTTTGCATGCTTGACCTAGGCCCAACCTACGTGGAGATGGCCACTTTTAACATGGATAGGGGACATTATCTGATTCGGATGGACCGCCATCACACTAAGGTGCACGTGCTTGTATCCGTTTGCATTTTCCTTCATCGGTTGGTAAGCATGGACCATTGACACACAGATTTTGATGCCATTGTGAGAGTGAGAAAGATAGCAGATACTAACCTTTGATGCCACTTGAGAGAAGAAAGAGATAGAGATAGAAGAGGGAGGGAAGAGAGAGAGAACATGTATTCGATAGCCGTTTATGCCACTTATAGAGAGAGAGAGCACGTGTATGGATGGCCTTTTATGTCACCTTAGAGAGAGCCGTAGGGTTCTCGAGAACCCCAAGCTTACGGAACTGAGAATTCAAAACATCGGGATCCCACCCAAAATCGTGTACATGATTGGTTAAATATGAAATAGATAGATACAATTATAAAGCGCATGTGAAAAATAAAGCAAACACAAAAAACAAACCACAACGGTACAAGATTTATGTGGTTTACGCCATAGGGCTACATCCACGGCCTCGTCAAGTAGAAATCCACTATCACAATGAATATTACAGTTTGGATTACAAGAGATAATACATCTCTCAAAACATCGGTAAAAGTCCATCATCGATCTTTCTTTTTAAACCCGCTCTCCCGACCGAGCAACACTGTCGATCAATTTCATCTTTCCCATAGCAATATCTTATCGGAAAGATAACATCGAGAGAAACTGAGAGATTTTCTCTCTCTAGAAGTGAAAACTTTACCAATCCAAAACTCATAAGAATAACGTCTCTTTCTTGGAGGTCATGTCTCTCCCTCTCTCTCTCTTGGAGACCCATCTCCATATTGGAGATCTATTCCCATGACTCCCAAAAGGGTGATCCTCAAAAGGATAGGTATTATGTCTTCTCTGATTCCTTTATATAGATTTCATTTCCTTGCTTCCCAATAAAGTCTTTTTTTCTTTCTACCATAATACCTTAAAAATATGGGTTTAGTGATTTGGTTATCACCAAACCCAACAATCTCTACCTAGATAGCAAAATCACCACAATTGCCTTTACAACCTTCATTGAATAAATTTTTTGATTTCTTATCACGTACTTCCATTGTGGAATTTTCACAAACATTTTGCCTTTATATTTTTCAAACATTTTGCCTCCATATTTCTCTACCTCAAACCATGTATACATCAAATTCCATCATTCATCATTTTCTTAATGCAAATCATAGCCTCGTACACGCTTTATACTCTAATACCAATTTTAGGGTTCTCAAGAACCCTTGGCTTGTGGAACTGGGAATCCCAAATATCAGGATCCCACCCAAAATCATGTACATGATTGGCTAAATGCAAAGCGCACATGAATGCAACTATAAATCGAGTGTGAGAAATAAATCAAATGCAAAAAACAAGTCACAACAACACAAGATTTATGCGGTTCACCTCATAGGGCTACATCCATGGCCTCGGCAGGTCGAAATCTATTTTCACAATGAAAAATACAATTTTGAATTACAATAAATACTACATCTCTTTTTCACAACAATACCGCTATCGGAAAGATAACTTCGATAGTAACCGAGAGATTTTCTTTATCTAGAAATAGAAACTTTATTAATCAAAAACTCATGGAAATACTGCCTCTCTCTTGGAGGCTATGTCTCTCTCTTGAAGACCCATGTTTATATTGGAGATCCATGTTTATATTGGAGATCCATTTCCATAACCCCCAAAGGGGTGACCCTCAAAAGATGATAGTATATCTTCTTTGATCCCTTATATAGATTCACTTTCTTGCTTCCCAACTTTTTTTTTTTTTACCGTAATACTCTTAAAAATATTGGTTCAGTCATTTTGGTTATTACCAAACCGAAGAGCAAACGCCTTGGATTGCCTTTATGTCCCTACGTGGAAAGAGAGGAGACAGAGAGAGCACATGCATTGTATTGCCTTTATGCCACTTTGAGAGAGAGAAAGAGAGGAAGAGCACGTGTATTGAGTAGCCTTTGTGCCACTGAGAGAGAGAGAGGGAGAAGGAGAGAGAGAGCATGTAATGGATAGATAACCTTCTGTCACAAGTAATGGGTAGATAATCTTTTGCATGGTTTCGCTTAAATGAGAGAGAGAGAGAGAGAGAGAGAGTTTCTTGATTTTATGCTCTTATTATACAGGTAAACTGGTTTTATGATTAATGGAAAGCTTGTGTTAATGTTCAAAAAAGAGAGAGAGAGAGAGCATAATGAATCGATAAACATTTAACATGCTTTCGTTTAAATTAGAGGAGAGAGAGAGAGAGAGAGATGAGGTGACTAATTTATATTTGTCCATTTAATTTGTTGAAACAGATTATAGTTTCACTTGGAAGTGGACCTTGGGACGCCCTATTTGGAGGTGGAAACCTGCCAGCATTTGTCGTAGCTTCATTTTCTGCCTTACTCAGTGGAATTCTTGCTTTCTCTCTCTTGCCTTCTCCCCCTCCCGCTTTCCCAATCACTCGCATTTTGAGAACAAGAAGCTCTCCCTTTCCTTAATTCCAATTCCCTTTTTCTCTCTCTCTACCTTCTTCCTTTTTCTTTAAGACCTTAGCCACATTATCTTTCTCTCTCCCCTTTTCTTTCTTATCCTGTCCTTGCTGACTAAGCCACATTACATGGTAGCCACAAAATTCTACACCTCACTTTTAAAGGAATCAAAGGGTGGCAAATACCATTTTGAAGTTTGGCAAAATATTCATCACAGGCTTTGAAAAGTTGGAAAGGAGTGTTCAAATATGTGAAACTCTTTTGTGAGAATCTCAATTTGTACTTGATAAGAACTTCGGGCAAATAAAATTTGTGGGTCTTTTTGCTCCTAAGTTACTCTGTAAAGAATGTTGGGATAGATAGCAAAGTTTATGCGGAAGTATTCCGGGCACCAAATTGGGGGGCTTACCATTTACACTTCTTGATCCATTTTTATCTATGTTATAAATTTGTTTTTACTTCTTACTATAAAATTAGAAGTTTTCAAAAATAGTGTGGATATATTAGATTTTTGAAAACTTATATTGAACCATCTAATAACAGTGTTAAAATTTGGATATGTTTTTAGCCTTAAAAACCTCTTTCTTTCATATTCATAATTGTTTAGGACAAGATGATCAATTTGTAAGTTTTTAATTCTCTAACAAATGGTACGTATTGTGTTAAAATTATGTTAAAAGCGTAAATATGAAAATGTTCAATGTGACAAAACCTTATGGTTTGATACTATTGGATGACTACGATAATGGTTCCTTTTGGATCCGAAATTTTGACTTAAATCAAATTTTGTTTTCCGAAAGAAATCATTGTTATAGTCATCCAATAGATAAAACATTTTCACTGCTACAAGAATGGATAGGGATATTTTGGTTGCTTTTTCCTTTCTTAGTGGCAAAGAGATGCCCTCGCCGACTTCTTGACCCTCTTATTCTTCATGTATTCAAGCAAGCGAATCATAAGCACGGGCCCCTTGTCTAATAAAAAATAGGGAAATTTATTAAAATGTACGGAAGAGATTTCTTTTGATTTAATGTCCAAAGAACCTATGAAAATAGACATATTTACAAATGAAAATAGTTGAAAAATGGCAAAATGTTAAATAGGTGATCAATTAAAGTAGTATCATCATTATCATCTGAGTCTTATTCCAATTATTTTTGGTCAGTTACATAACTCATGTTCTTTCATTCCGCTTTATTAAGGGTAATACATTCAATCGGACCATAGGTCGCCGTATCTTTTCTCACTATTTCTATTCATGTTCTTTTGAGCTTTTTTCATGCTTTTAGAGCCTTCCACTTGAACCAAATTGCTCATCCTAACTAGTAGTGTTATAGGTATAGTTAGCAAGTCTCCGTTTAAAACACGATGTTTTCAAAAAATCTCTGATTTTTTTAAATCCGTTTAAAACTCCGACTTTCTCAAAAGATCTTCAAAAAAAAACACATTTTTTCATGGAACCAATGTAAACCCATATTTAATCTTTTTTCAGGAAAAATTTTCAAAAAAACTTCTGCCCTATGACTTTATTTCTTTATTAACTTAATATTATTGAATTTTTATTTAAAGATAGGCAAATTAATAGTAGGAGTAAATTAAGAATCTTGATTTAAAGTAAAATTCCATAAAATGTTTCACCAATAATTTCCCTTAAAAAATGTTTACAAAAAATTACAAACAATATATTCCCTAAGAAAAAGATATCAGAACAATCGTATATCTCAAAATAATAGGCAAAGTTAGAAGACTAACACAATAAAAAATGTTTTTTTTTTTTTCTTTAAACCCAATACATCCTTATAAAGAGCATTTTGTGTGAGATTAGAATTTGCTCGAAGATTTTGTATACTAAAGATTTAAGCGCCTAGGAATTCAGCGTGAGATTCGAATTTGCTTAAATATTTTGTTGCTTACTTTATGTAGAGAGAAGTTTGATTAATTGTATTCTTTTATTTTTTATTTCATTAGTGTGTATAAAATAGTATTTTGGATGGACCATTATTTTATGTATTTTGTTTTAGTTAATTACAATCGTATATTGAGGGTCTTTTTTGTGTTTTTTATCTTCTTCAAACAATAATCATATATCTTAGTTTGCAATTCTTGTTATCTATTAATATAGTTCTTGTGTTGAGTATTATTTATATTTCATTTATAATCCAAATAAATTTGTGATATGTTTCGTGTTGTGACAACAGAGTAAGCATTGTTGTTGGACTTGTTGAAAGTTTAGATAATAAATTGTCAAGTATCACTCTAATGACACTAGGTAAGGTCATAAAATTATTGTTCAATGACTTTAATATATCTATACAATAAATGCAAATTGTAATAATATATTAAGCCATCTTTACATATCCGATTTTTTCACTCCGTTTATTTTAAACAAAGACCAATTATTCACGACTTTATAACTTACCTCATTTTTTGGCAATCTGTATTTTTTACACAATTTTTTCCACCAATTTTTTGAAACAAAATCGATTCATTAGCGATGTTTTGGCTTACTGACTTTTTATTATTCCTCGACTTGCTAACTATGGTTGTAGGTCAATGTTGTATATGACCACACTACCTGAGTCTACTTTCACCTCATTTTGCCGTCTATTAGAGCTACCACTTCGTTCTCTCAGATGTATTCATTCTTAATTCCACCTTTTTCTTGGCTTACCAGTTATCCATCTTAGGGAAAAGAGTCTATTGGATGTCCCATAGTAAGTTTTGAAGCTGCGCTTTTCAAGTTAAAATTTGGGTTTTAGTGGCAAATTATATAAATTTTGTAAATGGCATAAGGCACACGACAAAGAGATCCATCATTCGATCTTATTGATGGATGGTGGTGATTAACTATATTGATGCACATGTTTATCTCTAAAAGGTCTTGGTTGATCTCCACCATCTATTTTCAAGATTGAATGACGAATAGCCCAACCAGTATTACCATGTACCATTTGCCATCTAACTTAGATGCTAAATCGGATGGCTGGGGTTGTACTCATCGCCGAAGAAGATTTTCCTTAGACTTTGTGCAGATAAATGAGACGTTCTAGTTAAATTAATGGTTTTGAGTGGTCGTGACCTTTGTGTACCATGATAATAGTCCGAGTGCACATAACCTCGTATCTTTTTGGCAGTGTTTTAAAACCCGGACCAGTCTACCGAACGGAGTCCCACCAAACCAAGCCTAGTCAGGGGGTTATTGAGGGAAAATTTATTCAAAAACAAAGAAATTACAGAAAACCAAACCTGCGAGAACCGACGGGAACCAGTGCACTTTTAGACCTAGACCGGTGCGGCTTGGGCAGTTCAAAGCCAGCCGGCCAGTTTCTAGAAAAGGGCTTCTTGCTGGGCACCTTTTGAGTGTGCTCTCTATATTCCTTGGAAGTTGGTATTGATTTCAACAATTTTAATGGTTTGTTGGGTTAGTTGGGATTCAGGTCTTGGATGTGGGGCTCTGGACCTTAAGTCCAAACCACCTCCAATATGGAGTGAACCAAAAGCTTTACTTTCTTCAGTGGGTCTTGATAACCTTGGAGGGACATTTTAACCCAATAGGCATGATTTCCCAACTGCCCAAAAGCCTCATTTCTTACTAATGGTGGAGGGAAAAGCTCGTACTAGACAAAAATGCAAGTGAGAGAATGGAATCTTTAGTCATCACTTGCCAAAAATGTTTGATAAATTTATGAAAACTTCTGGCTTTTCAAACTCTCAAGTCTTTCCTCTTTCTAATACCCACTTAGATGCTTCTACTTCTTTGGAAAAAATGTGTGGTTATGCTAGAGAGAGAGAAAGGCTTGTCCAAAACTTCTGCTGTTCATTGGATATTAGTTCCAAATTTCTATCATGTAAGTGGAGACAGCCAAATTATGATTAAGGAGATCTTTGTGCCCAAAAAGATACATTAAGGATAAAGTATGAGTTATTGCATTACAGAAAGATGGTTTAAAGATTGCATTGCATGAAAACTTTTAATTAAAATAGGAAAAAAAAAGGAGGTAAAGCATTCTTCGGATGAAATTAAAGGTACAATTAATCAAAAGTGCAAAACAAGGCAATCAAATGGAGGATTGGAGAGAGAGAGAGAGAGAAGGTGGGGGGGAGGAGGAGAGGTTATTGTCATAAAGGATGGAGCATTTCACTTTTACTGAACCATGAGATAAAGAATTGATGAAGTGGTATATCAATAGTAAAAGAGCAAAAGAAAGCAACCAGAGAGGGAATTCGATGTGGAGAGAGAGAGAGAGAGGTTTTAGGGAAGGGTGTTTTTCATTTGGAATGGAGTCTTTTTTTTTTTGGATTGTATATTATGAGATCATTTCTTTTTGGGAAAATTATGTAAATATTCGTTTTAGTTTACGTTATTATCAAAATACTGAACACTTTCTACTATTATTGATATGTCTGTATTTTTGGACTTCATAATATTTTTTTTAAAAAAAAGATAAAATCACCCATTTTTTGTTTTTCAAAAACCGAAATAAGACTACTTTCGGTTTTTTAAAAATGGAAAATTTTTAATTTTCGATTTTTCAAAAATCGAAAATTTTTGCTCTCTTTTGTGAGTCATCTACATATTCTCTCTCTACATCTCTCTAAGCATAGAGTATCATGAAGAGAGGGAGGGGTTTCTATGGGGCTGGTCTGTTTTCTCTCACTAAAACATCCACTCTCCCTCTCCATTTGCCGAGAGTAAATGAAGAGTGGTTTTGATGGGGAGCCACCACAGGATAGGCAATGAGTTAAAAATTGTGCAAGGATCTGCGTGGAAAAGGCCTCCCAGACAGCGCTAATGGTGCCGTGGTTCGAAAGGTGCTGGTAAGAGAGTGGTTTTCATGGGGCACAGCCGCATAGGGGTCCCCCATAGGGTATTATGAAGAGAGAGTAGATAGAGTAATTCGAGTAAACAAATAAAAATAGAGAAAAGCATCGAACAGTTTGGTTTTGCTACGAGAGCATACCTGGCTAAACTATCAATCTTTCATCTTTTCTCTGCAAATTCTAGCTCCACTTTTCTCTGCAAATTCTAGCTCCCAAATTGTTTGATCTCCCAAATTGAATCTAACTTTAATTCCTTCTTTTAAATCTTTCAAATTGTATCTTTTAAATCTTTCAAATTGTATGCACTGCAAATTCTCTGTCTTCTTTCAAATCTTTCAAATTTTATGGTTTTCGTTAAGGTGCATAGGTTTTTAAATGAAGAAGTAGAGAGGGAGAGATGGTAGCAAGTTGTATGATTTTGGTAAATAGTAGAGAGAGGTGGAGAGAGAATACGCCGAGGAATCACAAGAGAG